CAGGAATGGTAAAGAGAAACTATGCCTTTAATTACGGTATAATTCCTGCATCCTAGAACTCACTACTGATAGATGATTTATGTTCAGACACGTCTCAAATTTTCTGAAACACTCGAGCAGTTAGAAGGATGTTCAGCCTGAAATTCTTTAACCGTCTAATCTCAGTATGTGCTATCAGCAACAAGTCTTCAACAAGCTGACAGAAACAAAAGAAATACATACTGAAGACTAAGATGTCATTTTCCCCGAACTTAACATTTATTCTTCAATCTAAAAAAACCCAAAACCCACAAACAGGAGTGTAGAAAATTGTAAAATATTCAAGGGTAAGCAGAAACAAATTTGATCACTTGACATAACTGGCGATGACTTTCTAAAAAAGAAAAACATCATTTATCAGGTCATCTATTAATTATGAAAACATAAATCCTTAGGCAGAATCAGTTCATTTCATCTATTTTGTCAAGCCACCAAATTCACTAGTATGATAAAAGCTGTCAGGCATCTACAGTTCAGGGTGACTATTTTAATTACCAGGAGTTGGTAATCTAGCTGTGACATCAATGTACGTGCACTGAAGCAAGGCTGCCCAGGAAACTTTGAACAATTAATTTTCAAAAATTTCATAGGATCCTCATATTTTTGCTAATACAAAAAAGTATTAGGTTTCGGGGTTTTTTTAAAAACACTTTTGCATTGTCAGATGATCCTTCTTGAGGAAATTCAGGTGATAAACGGCAGAGCAGAAAAAGGTAAATATTCCTACTTGGCTCTTTTTCCCCCTCACCAAATCATTTCAGTGATGCAAATCATTTTCGTAAGTACAGTAAATACATAGGTAGCATAACAACAAACAGCAAAGCATTTACTCAACAACTGAAGAATAATGTATATAACCTGTAGAATAGAGCTGTCAGGCTTGACAAGAAAACACGGTTGCAAAAGGTGCATTTCAGTATGTTGTTTTCATTTATGAACAAAAGTGCGGCTTACTTGACCGTATTCAGCCTACACACGAGATGACAAAGCAAGGGCCAATGACACGGCAATATTGTAACATTTTCTTACGTGAATGTGTCTCACGAAAATAATAAGGTTGGTTTGGTAGTGGTTTTTTAATAGCAGAACAGGTAAACATGATTACTAGCAAGTCTCCTAATCTTACAAATAAGACAAGGAGGAAGAGAATATCTAAGTAACAAGAAACAATTTTCCACTTAGTCATGAGTTGACTCCCTTAAGCTACTTTTCTGCAGTCTTGTCAGAAATTTAAAATAAATCCACATAGAGAAGATATTAAATATCTTCTTGTGAATTTCTGTCACTTGAATCCATTCAGATAGTTAATCCTGCTAAAACTTACTTTCCAAATATACAGTAGTTAGAACCTCTTCTATACATCCACCTAGTAAATGTGATGAGCAGCTACGAATGGCTCTAAGACATCAATCCCCTCTTCCCCCCCCCCTTGAAAAACCCACAAAACCATGACTTCTGCCTGGTTGCAGTAAGAATAGATGTCACATGAACTATCTGAGCTTCCATAAATGCACAAAATGCCTTGGATTTGGGCATGTACCATACTCCAAATACTTCCACATATACAGAAAAGTGCTTTGTGCAAAATAAAACCCAGTGAATTTAAGAAAAAAAAAAAATAGGACTTTTGATCAGTCTTTCTCACAGTCCTCTGGGCTTCTTGCATCTACAGTATACTTTACTTGTTACTTTATAATTTTGACCAAAAGTAAACCTAAAATGAAAATTTTGGAGAGAAAATGGGCTAGACAGACATCATTTGGTATTCTCCCACAGATTTTACTTACTAGTTCTTAAAGAACCTACAGTCCCTACTCCCTATAGAAAAAGGACAAATCACTATTGAGTACAAAACATATAAATACTTTTTCTTAAAATCTGTTCAAAATAAATAAAAACTATTAACAAAATTATTACTTTCCCCTTCAGAAAACAACATACCTGAAGCTAAAATAATTAATATTCTACTGTTGATAGTTTTCTAGATTGCAATGATTCAACAATTATCATTAAAAACCATTCTTTAAGGCAAAAAACCACCCATACTACTACCTTTATGACCAACCACTATAAGTACTTACTTCAAGAAAGCTATCTGGTTTCCTCCCTTGAAAGTCTGATTATAAATGCTTTGAGCTATACTCAGTTATATGTTTTCTTACATTCAGCATGTTCTGTTCTGCTTTCCTCTGCACTAGAATAAAAGCATGGAAGAGAAGACTTAAAAATTATTTTAAAGTGTTGTAAATACTTAACCAGACGATCAGAATGCTCAGATCACCAACGAAGACATGCAAAAAGGATATGCTCATCTTTTCTACAAACTTATCGTGTTCATCTTGTGTTTTAGGGAAATTCTCAATGTCACTTTCTAGACGCTGGATCTGATTGTTCATTGAATCTAGGTTGCTCTTCAGAGTCTGGGCTGAAACTAAGGAAAAAAAAAAGGACAATGAGTAAAAAGCTTCAAGATTCCAGAAAGGGTATCAGAAGGTGAAAAACCAATGTCACTATAAATAGTCTTGAGGACTATTAAGTAGACTCACATTTTTCTGAATTACTGTTCATAAAAATCCTACTCTTCATAAAAATTAAGTGAAAGTATGTAATGTAATATACCAAATCATCACATTTAATGTTGAAATGTCACCACTTAATTCTACCATTAGTTCAGATTATTCAATTGCTATTTAAATTTATTGGTAAAAATTCTAATATTTCATTCTTTTAAATCTAATTCAAAAAATTACAAAGTAACTAAGGTTCAAAGATATTTTACCTTATTAATGCATGCACTTGGTTAAATGAATGATCTTATTAATGCATGTACTCAGTTACAGAAATGGTTTAAGGAATAGACATGGAGAAAGGATCAAATATTTTTCTTTTATTGAAATTAAACTGATTTCTAGAAACCAACATCTGTGAAACCCTCTGTTAAGATCAAAGGTAGAATTGAATAATAAAAGTTACTGTTAATTAAAAAGGACTCACAGTATAGCATCAAAAAAAGAGAGGCTACTCTAAAGAAACACTACTTGCTCTGTCATATAACAATGTAAACCACTATTTGCATTAAACAACCACTAACCAATACATCATGAGAAAAATCTCCACTGGAAACACATCATCATAATTTTGAAGGTGGAGCCACAAAGAAATTCCAGAACTAGATGAGCAGTGACAGAAACTCTGCAGAGAAGCTCCTGGTCAAGTTGTAATATTAAAACAAACTGAACCCGTAATATTGAGTTTCGTGACATAATCTATGAAGTCCATTTATCATTCTCAATTTAATCATAAACAGCAGTTTGACAAGCATTTCCTCTTGATTGAAAGATTCATTTTAGAACCAAATTCTATCTTCCGTTGTCTCCTCTTGTATAGCTTACAAATATGTGCTTTCCAGCACAAGCAGCCGAATCTCAACACCACCCTTCCCCAAAGAGCACTGTAACATCTGCACCATTTCACATCCTTCCTCTAAACTGAGTACAGAATATTTCAAGTATACTCTGTTTCAGAGGTGATTTATACTCTACAAACTACTTAATCTTTAAACTACTTTACTCTACAAACTACTACTTAAGCATAGAACTGAGTACAGAATATTTCAAGTATACTCTGTTTCAGAGGTGATTTATACTCTACAAACTACTTAATCTTTAGTGACAGTGCATAGAACCCTCTCGTCAGTTCTTAAAAAGTGCCACAAACAACTTTTGATATGTGGAATCAGAGGTGAGAATATCCAGCACATTAACTACTCGAGTAACTGGCCAAGGCAATGCTCCTTATTGACTGCAGGCAGCTGCTCTACAAAGCTAACACTGTAGATCTGCATCCCAGCTAACCCAAGGATTATTTGTGTAGTGAAGATAAGCACGTGATTTTTTTTTTTAAAGGGGTTTCTGCTTTTTATTATTTTTTTGATGGCAAGCCATTTGTCCAAAAGTTGCATAGGGTTTTTTCAAAAGAACAGCTTTTCTTATTTCCTTGTAATTTAAAAAATTGTGCTGTGATGATGTGAGATTAAACAGTAGCAGGAATTTGATTCAAGATGGCTTGAAAAACAGTATATAGGAAATAAAAATCCTGTAAGGAAGCTGTTCCCAGAACAAAATCAATTCTATATTCTTTGTAAGGACCGATTCTTATCAGCCATAACACCACTGATTTAACTTTGCACAAGCACAATCAAATACATAAGGAACCAATACAGCTGTCTATCACAGGCATAATCTTGATTTCATGTTCAATTTTATCTATTTTATTCTGGGTACCAAAGGAACTAATAATCATTTAATCTTCAAATTACAGTGAAACAGCTTTTTAAGCTTAATTCAACTAGGGGAAAAAATAAATAAATCTATACTGACCACAGCATCCTTGTAGCCATTAACATTCAAGAGTTAATCTTGAAATCAACCAGTAAAAAGTAGTCTAAATAATAAACATTATCAAAGATTTTTTGATATTACTGTCAGAAAAGGAACGTACATTTTTGCTTGAAATGAAGACTTTAAATTATTATATTTTATAAGCTGATATGTGGTTGGATAGGGAGACAAACAGCACTGAAGTAAAATGCTAGAACTGAAAAATAAATTAGGAGGATGCAAATGATAATTTTGTTGATAAAAAGAGCAGCAGCTGGTACATAAATGGGCAACATAACAGATAAAGTTTAACTGTTTTCAGCAATTTGAAAATATTTAAATGCATGACCACTTAGCAAGAGTAGTAATTTATTTTTGTCTGACATTTAGAAGTGCAAAGAAATTCAGCAAGCAATGCCAAATAAGAAGTATGAAGGAACTTTACCCAAGCAAGAAGGCTGCATTCAAAAGCTTCCCATAACTTCTATATTCATGCTGAATCATCAAAAACCATTGTAGAATATTCATTTTCATTCACTTTTTTTTGTCTAGCCCAGGCAAATGTACAAGCTGCTGTTCAAATAATTTATGAAGATGTTGTTCTGCTAGACAAGTTTAAAAAAGACTACGTAACAGGAAACATACATATAGACTAGAATAAAATACCTGCATTTCCTCCCATAAAACTGTTTTATTAGAGATTTACCAGTTCAGTAACGTGGAGATCAGGCAACATGAGTACTTTTTACTCTTTCAGGGAAAAGCATGTGAATTTCTTAAAATTCTTGCAAGGTATTCATTTATGAAAGCATAAACTCTATTTGCAGCAAAATGTCATTTCTTTGAAACCATTCTGTAAACGCTCATACTAAAAAGACTATCACTATACTCCTCAAAGCTGGTGATCGCAAGACAAAGGCTTGTTCACCTTCAATTTGTCCATCATTCCACATGAAAATTAGGCATCCCAGTAGAAATAGTCTAAAAATCTACATGAAAAGTAGCATTTGGTTTTCAGTGGCACACAAGCACTGTTCAAGAACCATTACTGGGAAAGCCTCTCTGTAGCAGTAATTACAATACCATTCCATTTAACGTTGCAGCAGGAGACAGCAATCAACTAAATCCAGTACACAAATATCTGATTTCAAGAAAGGAACGAGGCAAATACTAAAAAAAAAAACCCACGAAACAGAAAAAAGAAAACAACCAGCAGCAACAACACCCAGAAAAAAATTCCTCCATAACCCCACACACTCTAGAATGAGCAGTCCCAAAAAAATGATTCAGCCTACAAGAAGCCCAGACATATCTCTGTATTAAGAACCAAGTTAAAATGTTTGCCACATTTCAAAAGTAAAACAAATCAACAGCAATAAACAATCTCTCCACCCTCGGAGCCTTAGAGGACAATTAAGACCCCCACACACACCCATAAGGGAAAGGTCAGCGTTTAAGAAATGGGAAAGTTTGACAAATCAAAATAAAGTCAAATTTGCTGACACGGGGAACAGTGGAGGCAGATGGCATAAACAAATTTAGAAAAGGATTAGACTCATATATAACAGGTCCATAAACAGATATCACAAGGAACAGGCAGGGATGTAATGCTTAATATGTCTGAGAACACATGTGGACGGATGGGGGGGAAACAGACTGGAGGAACTGCAAGGTTCTCCTGAAACAGCAGATCTTGCTGCCAGCACCAGACCGAGCATCAGTGTGGGCCACGGGGCACGTAGTACATTCTTATGCCTTAAGTCAAAAAACACATAAACCCCAAAACCTATACATGGACCATCTTCAAGGCCAAAGAGAGGAGGGAAAAAAAGTAGCAAGATTTCTCAGTCTGTACAAACTGTATCAGACTGGCCCCTTATTTAGCAATAGGAAGAGGCTGGCTTGGAGAGCTGCTGCAGCTCTAAGATGGGAAGAAATAGAGCATCTTTAACACATGTTAACGCGTGTTAACACAAACCACTATAATGAAAGGATTTACAAGACAGGAAAAATTCAATACTAAAATTAAACATCTATGTTTCAACTAACTAAAGCATTATCACACAGATTTACTATTTACACATAGGACTAATATAAACAAGGTGAATATGAAATTATGCATACTAATATACTGTCAGATTATTTTTCATGTCAGTGGAAGACTAATATAAGCATCTAGATTTATCAGTATTCTCTCTACACAAATACTGAATGAAGCTCAGTTAATCGTGCATCATTAAATCTACAACTGATTAAAAAATTTTGTATATTATTATTTATTTATAATAGAAATCCATAGTCATTGAAGAGAAGGCACAATGTCATGTTGACATGAAAGGTGATAATTTTTTTCTTCACTTTACTATTTTCTCTATATTAATTCCTCCTCTGTAAAAAAATCCAATATCCCATCCACTTATTTTGGAGAAAGCAGACTGCACGCTAAGGAAGGCTTAGTGAATGTCTGGTTAGACCACTTTAGTCCTAGAAAAATGCTACAAGCAGTTAATCTCATGTTAATGTCAAATGCTAGCTAGTCCCCACAGTCAAGTTAAGCATTTTATATTTACAGTAATGCAGTAATAGTACCAAAGGACAGATTAATCCTTTCCAAAATAAGATTGCGTCAGACTAAGAGTCCTCCCCTATAACCAGGGGTGGAATGATACATTTTGATTAGGTGCAGTGTCTCTTGCATAATAAATTCAAAGGGTCTCTGATCACGATGCGAAACAGGGATGGCCATGTGCATGTTTAGTAAAAACTCTGAAGTGAGAGCCAATGATATAAATGACTTCAGTAAGCAAAGGCAAATCCATATTAGGCAAATGAACTAATGGATTTGTAAGTCTAGACAGCATTTGTACCATAACTACATTCTGAGCATACTAATGATTATTTATTTCTTATTGCCTGAGGGCAGTTGGAAGTAGTCTTTCACAAAAGTCTGAAAAACAGTTTGAGGGGAAATGGGTGAGCAAGTACATAATCTGCAGGAATTACAATCATTGATTACTCAACTCATACCACTAAGTTTATATTTAGGAGAATA